CTCCTGATTGGAGGAGAGCAGCGTACTCAGCGTGTGGGTAGCAGAGTTGGGATTGGTGGAAGAGGACTATAAAGGAGGAGAGAGACAACATGCAACAGGAACATCTAAGAGGAACACCTGAGGAACATCTGAGCAGCCCCCGAGAGAGCCGGCCGGTGGTGTGCCGCTCCCCCGCGGAAGTGGGGAAAGTGGCAGGGGGAACCGCCCTTCCACGGAGGTGGAAAGGTCGGTAGCCAACCCGGGAAGAACCAGCAGCAAACCCGGGGAGGGCCGAGCAGACAAAAGAACAACGCAGGGTCCTGTGTCGTTCCTCCGCGAAGAGGGGGAGCGACACCCAGAGTATGTCAAAGGTCCAGAAAAACTGGGTCTACTCTCAAGCAATTTGTACCACTGCAGCCTGGACTCCGGCCACCAACGCTCGTGAAGATGACCATGGCCCTCAGAGATCTGCCCAGCCCACTGAATCAAAGAACAATCGAATCTACTTCAATACAGTCTAATTATTGTATGTATTTTACTGAGTTCAAGTATCTGCCACCTAGGGCCATGGGTATTCAGACCCTGCGGGTCATGTTCTAATTAGGAGGGTTCTAGATGTAGACCCTCAAGGTCTGGACTTTGGGCTCCCCCTGGCCCCAAGGAGTCCGTTCTTGCTCAGGAGGCCCTGTGTGGCACTAAATGAATTAAGTGTTGTCCTTTCCTTCTCCCCAGGCTGGGGAATCCATCGATGTGCCCCTGTGCACAGGTCGGAATGACAGCAGGCTGAGTCAGAACTGACTTATCATGGTGAATCCGTGCCGAGGCAGCTGGGTTCTACCATGTTTAGCTCTCTGTCCAAAGCCACTTACAGGCCCTTGGGACAAGGGGAGAAGTTTACAAGGATCTGCAATCGCATCAACACAGACTGAGAAGCAGGGTCCTGAGGCCACAGCCCAAACTGGCCATTAAAATGTCAGATGGGGCCAGCGCTGTGGTGTAGTGGATAAAGCCACCGCCCACAGTGCTGGCATCCCATATGGGCACCGGTTCAAGTCCCGGCTGCTCCACTTCCAATCCAGCTCTCTGCTGTGGCCGGGAAAAGCAGTAGAAGATGGTCTAAGTGCTTGGTCTCCTGCATCCGCATGGGAGACCGGGAAGAGGCTCCTGGCTTTGGATCGGCGCAGCTCTGGCCATTGCGGCTAATTGGAGAGTAAACCGGTGAATGGAAGACCTTTCTCTCTGTCTGTCTCTCTCTCTCTCTCTGCCTCTCCTTTTCTCTCTGTAACTCTGACTTTCAAATAAATAAATAAGTCTTTAAAAAAATGTCAGATGATGCCTTGCAAGTTGGAAAGACATCATCAACAATGTTTTTTGTTATTCTCTTCTTCCACAGAAATACATGACAAAGACAAAAGTGAAAAAACAGACTTGATAAACAGCAATGCATTGCCCAGTAAATATAAATATCTCAATAAAACCTGCATTTCCAAAATCAAAGCTGTGTGCAGAAAGAGTGGCGATTAAATGCTGACTCATCAATGCCAGGTTGAAAGCACAAGCAATAAAAGTGGTCAGTGGGCCATGCTGTGTGACTCTAAGAATGCAGAGGAGCCTTGGGATCCCAAATTTATCTTACTGCCACAGGAGAGAATAACTTTCTATGTACGGTAGCACAGTGAAGCTAAAACTTGCCATGGGACTCCAAATCCCATTAAGTTGGCAGGTACCAGTGCCATCTTACTAATTAAAGTGATCATTTTAAGTGCATAACTGATCATAAATATAAGAATAAGTGTCAAAGGGATCACATAAATAAGACCAAGTGTCTGCTAATAATAATTGATAGAATTAAAAGGAGAGAATGATCTGACATGGGAAGCAGGCCACACAGCAGACTCATAGAATGCCAAATGCCCTAAACAGCACTCTGGCCTCAGAATCAGTCCCTAAGGCATTCAGATCTGGGTAAAAAGCCCATGAGAGCATTTCAGGCATGGAAAGCCAAGACACTGTGACAAAAAAATATCCTACATGAAAGATCTCTGTGAGTGAGATCCTAGTGGAAAGAAGAGACCTCAAAGAAGAAGGTACCTTTCTCTGAAGGGAGGAAAGAACTTCCACTTTGATTATGGCCCTGTATAAATAATGTCAGAGTCTGCGGACTCAAAAGGCCTACATAGCTTTGGCAGCTCATGACAAGAGCCTCGGGTGGTCACTCACATCATAAATTTGTTAAGTCAACAACAGGAGTCACTATGCACTTGCTCCCCATGTAGGAACTCTGTCCTTAATGAGTTGTACTATGAGAATTAACATTAAAACTTGTCTTCAAACAGTACTTTTTTTTTAACTTTTATTTAATGAATATAAATTTCCAAAGTACAACTTATGGATTACAATGGCTTCCCCCCATACCGTCCCTCCCACCCACAACCCTCCCCTTTCCCACTCCCTCTCCCCTTCCATTCACATCAAGATTCATTTTCAATTATCTTAATATACAGAAGATCAGCTTAGTATACATTAAGTAAGGATTTCAACAGTTTCAAACAGTACTTTATACTTTGTGGTGCAAACTGTTGAAATCTTTACTTAGTATAAAGTTGATCTTCTATATGTAAAAATAATTAAATTTAATCTCAATGAAGAATGGGACGGGAGAGGGAGTAGGAGGTGTGAGGGGAGTGGGGGTGAGAGAGCAGGTATGGGGAGAAGAACCACCATAATCCAAAAGTTGTACCTATGAAATTTATATTTATTAAATAAAAGCTTTCTAAAAAAAAAGGTAACATAGTTTAAATAAATTAGCAACGATAACACCGTTTTCATTACACTCAGCTGCTCTCCAAGCTCTTCCCGGGCCTCACACTGTTTGTCTCAGCACCATCCCAACCTTGTGAGAAAAGACACAGAGTCGCAGGGAAGCTGGGTGACTTGTCCCAGCTCTGTGCTGGAGCCAGAACTGGAAATCACAAGGCAGCCTGTGAGCCGGGACCAGTGCATCCTGCCCTCGGTGCAGTCCCGAAAGAGGCCACAGGAGAAAGCAGAGAAAGCAGAGAAAGCAGGAGAAAGCAGAGGTGCTTCACGCACACCAGGAGTCGGTGGGTCACAGTCGGCAGGCTCTGGGCAGCTGAGAGGCAGGCTGAGGGCCTCTCTGCACTTTTAAAGCCTCAAGCACGACTAGCCTCTGCATGACCCAACCTGGACGTGACCTGCAGAGCACCCTACGACAAACCGGAGTCCGCGGCCTGTTCCTCTCCACATCACACATCCACAGCCTCTGACGGGGATCTGCACTGTACTTCCCCAAGGGGTGCTGATTCCTGGAGGCCGGGCTGAGACGGTGGGGAGCTACACATCTCAGTGCCAGAAAATCCAGTGTCGCTGGGCCGTGAGCACCCCACATTCTCTCAGCTCTGTCTACCTCTGAGATCTCTCACGGAGAAGCCTCCCATGCACACGAGAGACAGAATAGCTTGAATAATCATAAAGGTTCCTTTGTCAAAGCCCCACTGGGCACCCAGCCCTGTGCCTGGGGTTCGCTGTGCACAGCTTCTAACCCCCACAGCCGCCCTGCAACAAAGGTGTCACCGCGCCCTGCAGATCAGCGTGAACCCGGGGATGCACAGCCAGGAAACAATCAAGCCAGGCCTCCACCCGGTCTAAGTGCCTACCAAGCTCTGGTCACAACGTCCTGTCTCTCGGAGCTGCTGACAGCAGCATTCTCAGTGCCCGATAACAGCAATGACAATAAAAATGAATGACAAATTGTAAAGGCATAGAAATCGAAGTCCAGAAGAGCCTAGGGTATGATTTTCTCTTGCACCAAGAGCTGCATCGCCCTGGGCAACCCCCCACCCCCCCACGGCCAGGCCTCCTGTTCCTCATCTGTGTCACACAGAGTGGGGCTGCTGAGAAATCACGTCAGACGCCAGGCCGAGTGCGTGCCTCTAAAACACTAACAGGCACAGCAGATATTTTGATATTTTTAAGTCACATTGAACAGGAAGTTAATTTCCTATAAAGTTACGCACTGCAGTCAATGGCTATAAAATATAATGGCAGGAACGCTGTAACACAGTGCAACACTGGCACTGCTGCCTCGTTTACCTTCACCGCACCTCTGGAAGCCACGCCCTGGAGAGCCGCATCCTGATGCTGTAATGTGACCCACGAGAGAGTTTCTAATTGGAGCACAGGAAAGCCTTACGGTAGCAGGTAGCAGCGCAGGTTTCACAGGCAACAAGGCAATTTCCAGGGATCTCCATTTCCAAGGCCAAAAAGAAATTCAGGAAAGAGATTCAAGAAACACAAAGCCCATCCCTGGCAGAGGCAGCCTCGGACCGCTGTCCTTGCAGTCCCACCTCCAGAATGGCTGAGCTCCCACAGGTGTCAAAGGGAGGACAAGGCCCCGGGCAGGTGTGCAGAGAGGTAGGTGAGCGGAGCTGGCCCAGATCACCTGTGAGGTCCCTGGCAATCCAGAGCTTCTGTGATTTCTATCTGAATCTTGGGCTGGGAGCCATGGTTGGTCCCTTGGCGGAATGGCAGTTTCCTCTGGGAGTCGGTATATTCTTCTTGGGAGGTATGAGTACACACACACACACACAAACACACCCTCACAAAAGATGTCATGCCTTGGATTAGACACCTGCCACAGCAAGGATCTTTGAAAATCCACTCCAGCTCAATGCCTCAGTGAGCAAATGAGATACTATCATTCAACCTGAAATTGTGACTAAAGCAGACTCTGCAACTGGGATGTGTGAGAAGACACCATGCCACATAGTAACCAGGTGCTGGTCCCACGCCATGGGAGCAACAGTAACCGGTACAGGAGCTGGTCCCACACCATGGTGACTACAGTAACCGGTACAGGTGCTTTCTACACCATGGTGACTACAGTAACCGGTACAGGTGCTGGTCCCACGTCATGGGAACAACAGTAACCGGTACAGGAGCTGGTCCCACACCATGAGGACTACAGTAACCGGTACAGGTGCTGGTCCCACACCACAGGGACTATAGTAACCAGTACAGGTGCTGCTTCCACGCCACGAGGACAACAGTAACGGGTACAGGTGCTGGTCCCACACCATGGGGACTACAGTAACGGGTACAGGTGCTGGTTCCACACCATGGGAGCAACAATAACCGGTACAGGTGCTGGTCCCACGCCATGGGAGCAACAGTAACTGGTACAGGTGCTGGTCCCATGCCATGGGAGCAACAACAACCGGTACAGGTGCTGGTCCCATGCCATGGGGACTACAGTAACCAGTGAAGGTGCTGGTCCCACACCACGGGGACTACAGTAACCGGTACAGGTGCTGGTCCCACGCCACGGTGACTACAGTAACCGGTACAGGTGCTGGTCCCACGCCACGGTGACTACAGTAACCAGTACAGGTGCTGGTCCCACACCACGGGCACTACAGTAACCGGTACAGGTGCTGGTCCCACACCACGGGGACTACAGTAACTGGTACAGGTGCTGGTCCCACGCCATGGTGACTACAGTAACCAGTACAGGTGCTGGTCCCACACCACGGGGACTACAGTAACTGGTACAGGTGCTGGTCCCACGCCATGGTGACTACAGTAACCAGTACAGGTGCTGGTCCCACGCCATGGGAGCAACAATAACTGGTACAGGTGCTGGTCCCACGCCATGGGGACTACAGTAATGGGTACAGGTGCTGGTCCCACACCACAGGGACTATAGTAACCAGTACAGGTGCTGCTTCCACGCCACGAGGACAACAGTAACGGGTACAGGTGCTGGTTCCACACCATGGGGACTACAGTAACGGGTACAGGTGCTGGTCCCACACCATGGGAGCAACAGTAACCTGTACAGGTGCTGGTTCCACACCATGGGTACTACAGTAATGGGTACAGGTGCTGGCTCCACACTACACCCCTTCGCAGAGTTGGGTGTCCTTTTTATCTAACTCTCACAAAAACCCTAGCAGGGAGCACTTGCTGCCATCCCCAGATCAGAGGGGAAGGAGCCAGGTCTCCGAGCTGTTAAGTATCATCCAAGATAGCACCTCGGGGACAGCAGCAGAGCCGGGTCCAAAGCGGACGGTCTTGTTTCTGGCCTCTATGTTTCCCTGTCTCGTATCTTGGACCTGGGTGTCTCCACACATGCAGCAGGATAATGGAAGTGGAGAACGTGGGCTCTGAAGCAGCCTCCTGCCTTTGAATCCACCGCTGGCTGCATGTGAAGAACACTACGTGCTTGGAACAGTGCCTGGCACTCCACAACCAGAAACTGACAACCGTGAGTACTACTTGCATCACTATCATCCTCAGGCAACAATAGTCTGGAAAGTCTCCAAGTGGCAGCATTTTACTCCTGTTCTGCTATTTTTATAGATATTGAAGTGACAGCTTTACTGACATATTACTCACATACCATTAAATTCACACATTTGGGGCCACCGCCGTGGTGTAACATGTAAAGCTGCCACCTGCAACACCAGCAGCCCATAAGAGCACCAGTTTGTGCCCGGCTGCTCCACTTCTGATCCAGCTCCCTGCTAATGGCCTGAGGAAAGCACAGAAAGTGGCCAAAGCGTTTGGTCCCCTGCCACTCACGTGGGAGACCCAGATGCAGCTCCTGGCTTTGGCCTGGTCCAGAACTGGCTGTTGTGGCCATCTGGGGAATGAACCAGCAGATGGAAAATCTCCGTCTCTCTTTCTCTCTATGTAACTCTAACTTTCAAATCAATGGATACATCTTTTTAAAAAAGTGTATGCACTTCAAGTGCACAATGCAGCGGTTTCAGTATATTCACATAGCTGTGAAACCATCAGCTAACTCCAGAACATTCTCAACACCTCAAAAGAAACCCCGAGTCATTTTGCTATTATTCCCCATGGTGCCCTCCTCCCAGGCCCTGGCAACCACCATCTACTTGCTGTGTCTGTGGCTTTGCCTGTTGTGGACATTTCATATAAACGGAATACCGCAGTATGTGAGCTTGTGTGTGTGGCTTCTTTGACTCAGCATAATGTTTTCAGGTTCTGCTGTCATACAAGCATCAGAACTGCATTCCGTTTTTTTTAAAAAATGAAGTTAAACACACACAAAAATCAATCATTTAAAACTAATAATTCAGCGTCATGTAGCACATTCATAACAGCATATCAGCATGTGCATCTGGTTCCGGCGCGTGGTTCCTTTTTCTCGCTGACTATTCCGCTGTACGGAAGTCCCACATTTTACTCATTTGTCAGCAGGTGACAGAGTGGCTCCCTCTCTGGGGGTTTATGAGCACTGCTGTGGGGAACACGCATGTTCTTGTATGGACACCGGCTTCAGTTCTCTCAGCTGTTTCCCCAGGAATGAAACTGGTGGATCATCTGGGAGCCCCGTGCTATGCTGCATTATTCTTAATCTTCTAAAAATCACATCTATTACTTAACACCAAAACTGCTGGGTGAACTTACAGGAAGTGAAAACACATGGGCGCCTACGTAGACCTGGGGTAAGATCCTCACTCCTCCATTCACCAGCTGCTCAACCCCTGGGGCCTCTGGTCCTTCACCGAGCAAACGAGCACAGGGCACTTGCTTCAACTGTTCTGGGGCCTGGCGCAGTGCTGACAAGTGGCAAACACTCAGTAACAGAAACCACCCTTGGGGGCAACGACAATCTTCCTCCAATTTTAAAGGGTTCTGAAAAACTGCAGAAAAGCATCGGAAAGAAGCGCAGAAGCAAACACACTGTGGCACAGACCCACACGGCAGCGACCCACGGCGTGGTACAGCTGTGGTCCTGGCTCTCGGCCCCTCCCTGGCAAGAGCAGAGTCAGCAAACCACAAGGTCCTACAGAGCAAGTGTAGCCCCTGGACACCCTCTCTAGCAAGGAGAGAGCAGCCTGATTCTCACTGAGCCCCCACTGTGTGCAGTGCTGGGGCTGGGCACAGGGAAGTGGAGGAGAAGGACAAGACACGACACTGCACACGCAGGCAGTGACCATGGACACCCCATCCCAGAGGGGCCAGGCCAGGTGCTCGGCCCACCCTCACCAGAAGCTCCAGTGATGAGCCCTGACACAAACAACCAACACGAATGTGGGGCAGTGGCAACAGAGGGCTCCTACTCCCCTTACACCGTCTAGATATAAACAGGCAGGCTGACCAGCAGCCCGAGAGGAGGGCCACGTGCAGCACAGCACACCTCCCACCACCGGCCGGCCACTAACTCCAGATCAGAGTCCGAGAAGCGGCCAGCAAGGCTTCCGGGCGGACCCCTGTGCCCCACGGCCCCCAGCGTCCCTCCCGCAGCCCCTGGCTCCTTCGTTGCCCCGCTCCGTGACTTCCTAGCACCGCTGGCTCCTCATCAAGCAAACGAGCACACAGCTCTACCCTCAGTTGAGTGCCCGGGGATGTTCTGGGCCTGGCACACAAGGCAGAAGCCAGGCCTTGGGCCGGGGCTCCCCTGGCGCGCCGCCCTCCCCTCCACGGGTGGACCTGTGATAAAGCCACTTTTCCACCGCACCGGAGGGGCCTCAAAGCTTCGAACACTGGAGAGCAGTTCTCGTCCCCGGCCTTCTCTGCTTCCCCTCTGCAGGTGAGAAAGTCGGGCACCTGCCCACACTCACAGAGGCCGCCCCGATCCGGTCAGCCGTTCCCTGTCTGCCCCGCAGCCCCACAACGACACCGCAAATACCCAGTCCCAAGGGCTGGGACCAGATTCTGTTGCATTCAACCCGCGGGAGAACTCCGCCCGGGCTCCCGCAGTCCTGCAGCAGGAAGAAAGAGGGCGCTCTTCTCTCCCGCACCTGGACACGGCCTCTCAGCGACCGCGCGGGCAGAGTCGGGGACAGCGGCAAGGGGCAAAGGCCCAGCCCCACCGGGACAGCCCGCCCGCCATTCCCGCTCAGCCCGCGCTTCTCCTGAACTCAAGGTCAGGCAGGACGGCTGCCAGGCGCACCTTCCTCCTCCCGCCTGCCTTGAGCTGTACCACACACCGGCCCCGCGAGGCCAGCTCCCGCCGACCGCGGCAGCCCCAGCCCTGAGGCGGGCGGGCAGCAGGGGGCAGGGCCCCGGGGTGCGGGGGGACAGCGGGCCGAGGACGCGAGGCGCGGCTCTGCGCGTGCGCGGCCGTGGCGCGCGCCGGGCGAAGACAGGGCTCCCGCGCCCCCTGGCGGCAGCCGCCGCGGTGCGGTGGCGCTGCGGGACGCCCGGGGCGGCGGCGAGCGGCGGGTTGGGGCCCCTGGACAGCGCGTGGGGCGCGTCGCCTCCGAGCCCTCGGTGGGCTTCGGCCTCCCAGCGCGCGCAGAGGACCGCAGTGCCCTGCTGTTAAAGCAGCCCGAGGGGCGTCTACGCTGTAAGAAAGCGTCTTTTCCATGGCCCGCAGCGTCCACACTGGCTCTAGAGCCACGCACCCAGGACGGCCTGGGCCTCCCTCGGGCCGGGGTCGGCGGCGCCTGCCCCGGAGGTCCCGCACAAGGGGCCAGCCAGCGCCAGAGGGGGAGACAAGCACTTGGCCGCACGGGGCGGGAGGGCCGAGGGCCGCGTCTGTCTCTCGGGTGGTTGTGAAGGCGAAGGAAGTTAAGGGCAGGTGCTTAGAACACTGTTTAAATGCTGTGGTTGTTATTTACTACCGTTGCTCCCAGATGCGGCACACGGTAGGCATTCCACAAAGCCCAGCCCTTCTGGCTGGCAGGCTGCCCTGTGGCCTGAGCGCAGCTGCCCACGGCTGCCCGCCGCTGCCGGCTCACCCCCACCTGCCAGGCAGTGCAGGGAGGCCCAGCCAGGACCCCCGTGGCTCCCAGCCCACTCGGGAGAGCCACGCCAGGAGCCACACTCTGCCACCCCGCCTCTCTCCACAGAACAGTCCGTGCTCTGCTCCCGCCCCCAGAGAGCTCAGAGCTTTCCAAATATGGAGGCTTTTTTCATTCCCAAAGCGGCAGGAACATTTGGGAGATGAAAATGAACACCCGACCTGGTTTGCAAATGATAGAAGCCGAGCAGTGGTGGCGGCAGAACAAGCCAGTTCCGGGAGTCAGGTGTCCTGCTTGTCCAAACTAGCACCTCTTCTAACCTGGCCAGCTCTGTGCAGGCCTAGACCCCAAGGAAGGACCCAAATCCTAAAAACCCAAACTGCAGCCGATAGCACAGGGCAGAGGAGAGACCTGCAGGAAGGAAGCCAGGGAGCCACCGGCTTTCAAGAAAGACGAGCTGCGGAGACAGACAGCCCGCAGCCCGGGGTGGTCCAAGCTGAAGGTGAGCGTGCGTCCAGGAGGAGTCAGAGGCAAGGTTATTTGTTGTGTGTCAGGCTCCAAATCTGACATCTAGAATGGAAAGCACTTCAGCAAACGTGGAAAGTGGTGTACTTTTGAATATACGTTCCGCATGCCACTCAGCAAGGGTTTGTCTTCAACAGTGCGCCTCTGACTGCGGGGTGAAATGTCTAAAGAATGGTCCACCGCAGACAGTCCTCTGTGGCAGGCAGTGTGCCTGGCGCCAAGGCAGGGAGGCGGCGAGCAGCTTAGATGTGACATGGCCTCAGTGCCCAGCCCGGACATGTACCCACATATCTGCTGATTCATTTTTTTCTTTTCAGGGAAGAGCGTGCATGCAGTCCCCCACTACCACAAATTATGCAGTCGAGTTTCCCACATGTGGGGAAATCGCAGGGGTCAGCACTCCCGCAGTGCAATGGAAGAGCCTAGCCCTGGGAAAAGCACCTGCCTGATCGTGGTGTCTGCCCTGCCAGGTAAGTATATTTGCTGATTTGATAATTACACAGTCTAGCTTAAGAGGCAAGTGGCGGGTGTGAGATAATCAGACGGGATGCCAGATTAGATGGTACTAACTATAAATAGGGGTGGAACCAGAGGAAAGTGAGACGTGTGGACCAACAGAGCTGCAGAGGTCTGCATACGACAGCAGGTGTCCCTGAGTGGGGAGCTAGCACAGGCAGCAGTGGTGAGCATGGGTGAGGCACAGCAGGACACGTGGCCAGCCAGCCCCAAGACTACATACGGTCTGGAATCCAGAGACATCATGGCTGGGTCTGGACTTGCCATGGTTGGTAGGAGAACTCAGGGAGAACCTGAGATGACTTTTTGGATCAACTCTTGATTAATCTGGTGTGGATTTTTCCATGGTACATTTAAACCTCAGACTGACTTGTCCTGACACTCAGGCCATAGTCTACTTGCTGCCCTGGCCACATTCAATGTCACCCTGAGACTATTAATCTACCACAAGTGTTCCATTGCTCGTGTGTCTTGGGCACCGCAAACTCCCGGTGAAGGCTCTGTATCATCTGGGTGCCTCCCCCTCCATTAGCCCTGAGCCTTGCTGGGCCCTGTTACTTGCTGGGGCTCACAGGGCTGCAGGCTCAGTTCCTGCCCTCTCGCTCTGTCTTCTGAAGACCTTCCTGGGCTGTAAGCACATCCTACGCCTATAGACAGGGATTCCCTGAATCCTGACCCCCAAAACCAACAGCCCAGAAACACTTAGGCAGAGCAGCCATCCAGAATTCCGGTGGGTCTCTGGACAGCACCCCCTGGTGGACACAGAGATTTCACCATATTCAACTCCAATCCAGTCTCTTCCCCAACTCTCCCAGGAAAATGGCCCCTCCTCCTGGTTTAACATCACTACCTGTCCACTGAGCTCAGCTGAAAATCTCAGTTGCCTTGATGCCTCCTTCAGCCACCTGTCCACACCAGCTGCCCAACACACACTGCCTGAATCTCTTCTAAATACTCTTGATGCTGACTCTGCTCCACCTGGGTTCACCCCTTTGTACCTAGAGTCTAGGTTTCTGCAGTATCTGACATCTGTCAGGCCCCAGCGAGGACAAAGGAAGCACTCTTAGTTCTCCCAGGTAAAAGGGACTGAATGTGTGGAGTTGTCTGTATAGGAGATGAAAGAGTTAAGAAGCCACATAGGATGGTTTTGCATCCCAGAGCCCAGCTACAGCAGGAAGCCACCAACATCCTGAGGGCTGGAAAGAACAGGGGGAGGAGGTGGAGTTTTGATACAGGATGCCGGGGCCAGTAAGATGGGAGCTACAACCAACAGGGCTGGAGGAACCAAAGAGACAGAACTGCTGCCGAAAGTGCTGCCTGAAGCAGATGGGGACATAACCGGGCTTGACGCTCCTCCTGCCCCCTAATTCCCTGCTAGTGCCTCCTGCTGGCCAAGCCCATCAAAATCGCCGGACTTGGGCACCTGGGAAACAGCCTGTAGAAGTTAGGCCCCCGACAGGCAGAACAACAGAGGAAGGGCCCAGAGCCAGCCCCCTGCCTCTCCATATATATAAACCAGTCTCCATCCCTATAATCTCTCATTCCTTCTAATCTGTTCTCCACTCTATGCCAGAAAGATCTTTCTTGCATATAAACTTAACTAAGTCATTCCTCCTGCTTAAAACCTGGCAGCAGCTAGAAGTTTCCTGGCAAGAAAAAAAAATAGGACTTATCCACCAGGGTGATTTTGTCAGTCACTTACAAATAAAGGAAGTGCTACTTCACTTGGCTATAAAAGTACTAGGTTTGCTCCATAACATGAGATAAACTACTGCTCAAAGTATTACCAAAAAACAGAATGGAGACTTCAAATTCATCAACCATGAAACTGGAAACTCGCTGAAGACAGCTACTTTCTGACCAGCGCTGATGGCCATGATGAAGGGCTCAGTGAGCCAGTGGAATATGCCATACAGAAGGATGTGGGGAGCAAGGGGAGGCTGTTTAAACCTACTACAACAATAGAGGAGCAAGATTCAGTGAGTAACCGAAAGACTCAGAATGAAAAGAAAAGCCCAGGTCAGAGGGCTTTGTTGGTGAACTTTATAAAACTCCTAAAGAATTAACACTAATCCTTCACAGCCCTTCCAGAAAGTAGAAGAGGGGGAACGTGTCACAATGTCACAACTCACCCAATGGTACCAGTAGCACATTGATACCAAAACTGAAGACTTCACCAAAAATCCGTCAGTATCCTTTACAAATACAGATGTTACAATCTTCAACAAAATATTAGCACACCAAACCCAGCTACATATAGAAATGATTACATACCACACCCAAATGAGATTCATCCCATAAATGCAGGGTTGATTTAGTATATGAAAATCAAGGTAAAGCACCATATTAAATGAAAAAGCACAAAAATTATATGAACATCTCCATAGAAAAAGAATTTAGCAATATGTAACATCTTTTAATGATAAAAACACTTATAAACTAGAAATAGAAGAAATTCTTCAAGTTGATAAAGATAGTCTATGAGAAAGTCACAGCTAACATCATATTTAATGGTGAAAACTGATTTACCCCTAAAATAAGACTGTACATTCTGGTTACTTCAATATTGTAATGGAAGTACCAGCCACTATAACTATGCAACAGAAAGAAACAAAGACATCTGGGTTGGAAAGGAAGAAACAAACTATTATTATTTGCAAATGCCACAATCTTATATATGAGATTCTCCATGAATTCCCAAAATATTATGAGAGCTAATTAGTGAGCTCAGCAAAGTTGCAGAATACAGTGGGGAAATAATAGTCTTTTCAACAAACACTGCTGGAATAAATGGAGATCCAGATGTGAAAGAATGAAGTTGAACCCCAGCCTCACAAAAATCAACTCAAGGGGTTGGGGCTGTGGTGTAGCAGGTAAAGCCACCACCTGCAGTGCCAGTCTGAGTCCAGGCAGCTCCTCTTCCAATCTAGCTCCCTGCTAATTCACCTGGGAAAGTGGTGGAAGATGGCCCAAGCACTTGGCCCCTGCACCCAAATGGGATACCCGGAAGAAGCTCCTGGTGTCGGATCTGCCCAGCTTTGGCCATTATGGCCATTTGAGGAGTGAACCAGCAGATGGAAGATATCTCTCTCTCTCTCTCCCTCTCTCTCTCTGCCTCTCTGTAACTCTGCCTTTCAAATAAATAAATAAATATTTTTTTAAAAAATCAACTCAAAATGTGTCAGTGACATAAATTTAAAAGTTAAAACTATAAAATTCTCAGCCCTGGGAGTCAATCTCCATAATACTGATTAGGCAGTGGTTTCTTAGACATAAAACCACAAACACAAAAATAACAAAAGGAAGAAAATACATAAATTGGACTCAATCAAGATTAAGAAGTTTTATATTCAAAGGACATCATTAATAAGATGAAAAGACAACCTATAGAATGGGAGAAAATATTTACAAACCAAATATCTGTATAATAACTTGCATTTAGAATATATAAAGAACTATTACAGGGGCCAGCACTGTGGCATAGTGGGTCAAGCCTCCGCCTGCAGTGCCAGCATCCCATATGGGCACCAGTTCAAGACTGGACTGCTTCACTTCCAATCCAGCGCTCTGCAAATGGCCTGGGAAAGCAGTGGAGGACGGCCCAAGTCCTTGGGCCCCTTGCACCTGCACAGGAGACCCAGAAGAAGCTCCTGGCTTCAGACTGGCGCAGCTCTAGCTGTTGCAGCCATTTGGGGAGTGAACCACAGATAGAAGATCTCTTTCTCTCTGCCTCTGCCTCTCTGTAACTCTGCTTTTTAAATAAATAAATAAATAATTACAATTCAATAATACAAAGGATCCCATTTTAAAAATTGCCAAATAATTTGAATAGGTATTTCAGCACGGAAGATAAGCAAATGGCCAATAAGCACAAGAAACACTGCTCAGTATCATTAGGGAAAGGCAAATACAAGTCGCAGGCTGCACTTCACACACTGTGGAATGGCGCTCATCCAAGGAAAGACAGTACCAGGTGTTGACAGGATGTGGAGAGACGGGAAGCCTCCAGGGGTTGAGGACTTGAGGCTGCTCCGTGATGGGTTGTGAACAGGAGTACTGCCATCTTACAGCCACACTGCCGTCTTAGGATGGTTGAGTCAGCAGTTAACACAACCCCACCCAAAACCCCCAGAGCCCAGGCAAGTCAGCTTAACCCTGCCTGTCGCCCGCTCACCCAGCAGTTAAGAGGAAGGAGTAACTCTGACTATATGAAAACCTAGTCTGTACAAGAACGGCACTGTCTATTCCTGCCAGTAGTGAGTCCCTCTCGGGTTTGTCTCTGTTCAGGCTGGTGAGTTTGTGATCTGCCTTTTGTCTTATTTTCAAGTTCCTAACTTCTGACAACTCCGGAAAATGCTTTCCAGTTCCTCACGAGTTACCACATGAGTTAGCAGTTCCACTCCCATGTATATATTCAAGAGAAACAAAGGCATACATCTACTCCAAATCTTGTACAATAATGCTCATAGTAGCCTAGCAGTGAAAACAGCCCACTGTCCATCAACTGATGAAAGGATTAACAAAATGTCTCACATGTGCTATATTCATACCTGGAATATTAATCAGCCATAAAAAGGAATCAATCATGGCTTTAACGTTTAAAAACCTTGAACACATGCTGAGTGAAAGAAGCCAAAGTCAGGCCGGCGCCGTGGCTCACGTGGCTAATCCTCCACCCGCGGTGCCGGCACCCCGGGTTCTAGTCCCGGTCAGGGCGCCAGGTACCAGTCCCGGTTGCTCCTCTTCCAGTCCAGCTCTCTGCTGTGGCCTGAGAGGGCAGTGGAGGATGGCCCAAGCGCTTGGGTCCTGTACCCACATGGGAGACCGGGAGGAAGCACCTGGCTCCTGGCTTCGGATCGGCGCAGCGCCGGCCATAGCGGCCATTAGGGGAGTGAACCAACGGAAGGAAGACCTTTCTCTCTGTCTCTCTCTCTCACTGTCTATAACTTTACCTGTCAAATAAAAAATAGATAAATAAAAATAAATAAATTTAAAAAAGAAGCCGAAGTCAAATATTGCATGACTCCATTTATATAAAAATGTTCAGAACGGGGAAATCTGTAAAGACACTACAGATTAGTGTGGACTAGGGCTTTGGTTAAGCACTGGGTTTGGGAAATGCGAAATGACTGCAATGAGTACAGGTGTCTTTGGGGTGATGATTTCCTAAAACTGTGGTGATAGTTACACAACTCTGAATACATTTTAAAAGGTCAGATTTCATGCTACAGGGTGTGATCTATGCGTCAATAAATGTGTTAATGTTTTAAAAAGCTATAAACAGGATTCTGGGAAGGTATTGTGGGAAGCACCAGGAATCTGTTTCCCCACAGAGGAAGCAGTTGCACTGGCATTATCTGTCTGGTGTGACTATGTTGGTGCTCTACCGTCTATCGAAGGCGTGCAGCTTCCCAGGAAAACTGGACGGTAAATCGCAGTCGTTCTCAGCTCTTAGCAAATTGCTGTGCACATGTTCCTGGAACAGCCAACGTGCAGCATGTGGGAGCCAGGGTGGGCAAAGAATACCCTGCCCTATAAATACCGGGAGTCTGTGTTCTGATCTCCAATTGCTGCTTCTGGTCACAGAGGTGGAGACAGAGAGACAGGAGCCCTGAGAGTTGAACCAGCCCTTCACTGTTGCAAGCCCCTCTCCCTCAAGCTGAAGTGACTTCCCAAGGATTTAAAGGGCCAATGCCTCCCCTACCCCCATCCCAGCTCACCTCTCTCTCTCTCTCTCTCTCTGTTCACTCACTCTCTATATTTTGGAACCATTCATTAGAGACTAGGATGTTCCAACTATATATGGCAGGGGCGGTGGGGAGGATAGGCAGGCAGTCTGAAAAAACCTGAGAAGATCTCTACCTCTCAGGCTGATCCTTGGTACACAACCAACAATAAAAAAAAAAAAGCATTAACAACAACAACCCAAACAGTATATCATGAGAAGAGGAAAAGTCTAATTCCTACAGTTATCACGTTATTAGTTTCAAATGTCCAGTTTTCAACAACAACAAATCACCAAGCATACAAAGAAAGCGGAAAGTATGGACCACTGAAAGGAAAGCAGAAACTGTCCTTGAAAAAGATTTGATGGCAGATCCACTAGACAAAGACTTTAAAACAACTGTGCTTAAAGATGCTCAGTGAGGGGCCAGCACCATGGCTTACTAGGTTAATCCTCCACCTGCGGTACTGGCATCCCATGTGGGCACTGGGTTCTAGTCCCAGTTGCTCCTCTTCTAGTCTAGCTCTCTACTGTGGCCCAGGAGTGCAGTGGAGGATGGCCTAGTGCTTGGGCGCCTGTACCCGCATGGGAGACCAGGAAGAAGCACCTGGCTCCTGGCTTCAGATTCATGCAGCACCTGCTGTAGCAGCCATTTGGGGGGTGAACCAACGGAGGGAAGACCTTTCTCTCTGTCTCTCTCTCACTGTCTAACTCTATCTGTCAAATAAATAAAAATTAAAAAAAAAAAAAAAAAGATTCTCTGTGAACCAAAGGAAGACGTGAAGGCCAAGAAAATACAGACCGGTCAAAATGGAAAATCAGTAAACGGATGGGAAGACTAAAGAGAAATCCTGGAGCTGGAAAATACAGTAACTGAAATGAAAATCTCACAAGGGGGTGTCCGAGGTTAAGTCAGGCAGGGAAGAGAAAGACTCAGTGAACTCAGAGAGAATAATGGAAATGTTTGTGGGGAGCAACTGGGAGCAACTCGGACTAGACTGAGTTACTGGAATTAAGACTTGTTCTATGCATCTGCTCTCCCACAATATGGCGCTGGGAGAGGAGAAAACAGCTTCTACGCAGCTGCCTCTTGCCAACTTGAGTGATGACCTCCAGGAGCTGATCCTGCTCCTGATTGGAGGAGAGCAGCGTGCTCGGCGTGTGGGCAGCCGAGTTGGGATTGGCGGAAGAGGACTATAAAGGAGGAGAGAGACAATATGCACCAGGAACATCTATCTGAAGGAACACCTGTGCAGCCCCCGAGAGAGCCGGCCGGCGGTGTGCTGCTCCCCCGCGGAAGTGGGGAAAGTGGCTAGGGGGAACCGCCCTTCCACGGAGGTGGAAGGGACGGTAGCCAACCCGGGAAGAACCAGCAGCAAACCCGGGGAGGGCCGAGCAGACAAAAGAACAGCGCAGGGTCCTGTGTCGTTCCTCCACGAAGAGGGGGAGCGACAATGTTTAAGTCTGAACATTGTGGTTTGGATGTGTCCCCCCAAAATGTCAAGGAGGCTTGATCCCCATGCAACGGTGTTGGAAAGTGGGGCCTGAGGAGAGGTGATTAGGCCATCAAGGCATAGTGAGTGATGAACACCATCAGTGTGTGAGTGGGTTAGTTACTGCAGGAATGGGTCCATTACACAAAGGGGAGTCAGTGCTCTTTTCTCTCTTGCCTTTCTCATATATATATATATATACACACACACACACACATATATGAAGGAAAAACAGAATAGAGGACAGTTCCTTAATCATAGTTGGAGACCTCAGTACCCCTCTCTCAATAATGGATAGAACAACTGTAATGAAGATGAGTGAGGAAACAGAAGATTAAACAACACAATAAACCCACTATATCTAACAGACACATCACAGCCACTCTACCCAACAATAGCACACATGTTCTTCTCAGGGGCACATGGGACACTGTGCAGGATGGGTCATATGTTAGGCCACAGATTCAGCAAAAATGTGGCACACACATACACTGGAATATTATTCAGCCTGAAAAGGAAGGAAATCCTGACACATGCCGATAGCATGGATGAAGCTTGAGGACATTATGTTACATGAAATCAGCCAGACACACAAAGACAAATATCATCTGACTCAATTTATATGAGGTCAAATATAGTGGCCAGACACAGAGACACAGAAAGTAGAATGGTTGTGGGGGATGGGTGGAGAAGGGTAGAGAAGGTATTGGGGAGTCTTTGACAGGCAAAAATTTCAGTTTTAAAAGATGGAAGAGTTCTAGATATGGATGGTAGCAATCACTGTACAAACTTGTGAAATATTTAATATTACTGAGTTGTATACTTAAAAATGGTCAAGATGGTAAGTTTTTTTAAAAGATGTGTTTATTTATTTACTTGAAAGGCAGAGTTACAGAGACAGAGAGGGGGAGACAGAGAGAGAGAGAGAGAGAGAGAGATCTCTATCTGCTGA